ACCCACCTGTCAGTAATGTGCCTCTTGTTGAGCATATGCTATGTGCCAGGAACTGTCGTGGTCCTGAGGTTATAGAAACGAACATGTCAGACAAGATCCCTGCTCCTTTGAAGGAGATAAATATGATAGTGGACCATGGCAGATTCTGCTAGGAAAGGTGTCTTTGCTGGTGAAAGAGAGGTTTCAGAATCAGAAGTGGCCTTGGTCAATAGGTACTGTTTCCTCTGAGCTCTCAATGCTAAGAATGCCTCATCCTTGGCAAGATAGAAGGAAAGAGTTTTTGTTATTTGATTATTTTATGCAGTAGAAATAGTATATGCAAGTAGTATTGCTGTGTATTGAGGGGGTAGCCTCTGACCATTTATAGACAATGCTCAGCTTTGCTGAGATGTTCTCAAGTGCCCCAGATCAGACAGAATATGCATCTGTGGAAGCCTGGTCCTACACACACTGTCCCAGGATGCGGAGCAGAGAGGGGACCATCAGCTTGGGGGAAACAAATGTGTATTTAAGAAGAAGAAACAGCATAGAGTCCCTCTGAATCATTTAAATTAGGTGTGCTTTTATACTTTTCTAAAGGGAAGCTAAAATTATTTTTTTGCTAGTTTCCAGCTAATTCTGTTGTATTTTATGAGTGTTGTGTCATTCAGAGAACTTGGAAACATTCATTCTTCCTCCTACCAAATTTGTGGAGTAGGTGGGAGAGCTTAAAAAAGCTCCTGAAAACCTACTTTCTCGGCTTAATGGGTGCAGGAGGAGGAAGAGGATCTCCGCGCTGGAATTGGGACCAGGGCGGAGAGAGGCCACACTAGTGTGGAGCCTGTGAAAGTTTCATTGGAGTCCAGTCCCTTAGGGTGTTGGCACTGGTGATAGCCTCTGTGATTCCAGGACATCCCTTTCAATGTTAAAAAGGGGTTAGTTTTTTAAGTTATAAAGTGATCTTAAATAGAATAGTTCAGTGTGATATGAAAACAAACTGGGAGGGTGAAGTCCTCTGATTTCAAGTTGGCCAGCTTCAAGGCTGGTTGCAGATTGTCTTTAGATTTGTTGCTGGTAGGAGAGAGACGTCCGCCATGAGCTGGGGAAGCAACTTGGGCTTGTATTAAGAACAAAGAGAGAACAGCCAAGTCTGGCTGGGTGGTGTGAAGTTTGGGGTCTGTCTTGACAAAAACCAGAGTTTTGAGGTACTACATTGGGATACGTGACTTGCAGTCAAACTTGAAAACAATAAACAGCACCAATAAGAAGGCAAAGCAGGATGGTATGGATTCTTGTTCATCTAGGGGTTGGGGAAAATGCTTTGTAAAAATAGACGTAATCTGTGCCGTGAAGGAGAAGTGCATAGGCTTCTGAGGACTCTGGGCCTGAGGGCTCCTGTCAGCTGGAATGGGTTGATGTTCGGTAGCAATGAGGATGTCTGAGGTGGTACCGTGGTCTTGGCATAGAGTAGAAGAGAAGAGGGTACAGATGAAGGAGGTGAGGCCCCAAGGTGTCTGGCGGGGCCTGAAACAAAAACTGTCCTGTCTTTTGAAGCACTGGACTAGAGAAGTGTCTTGTTTTAGGCCAGGGTATGTTAGAACTTCAGGGAAATGAGTGAATTGTTTAAATTGAGAGTTACCAGAAGGGGAGGGGGTCCTTTTGCTTTCCACAAACTCCCCACTACTCCACATCCTTCTAAACTTGATTTTGGACTCATGTGGAGGATACTTAAGTTGAAGTGGGGTTCCGGGAGTGTCTCCGTGTTTTGTTGGAGGATAGTGAGGCTTGTTGCTTGGCCTCTTGTTCAAGAAGGCTGACCTTGGCTAGCTGTGGATTTCTTGGGATTCTGGGAGTGTCTCCTTGTTTTGTTGGAGGATAGTGAGGCTCCTTGCTTGGCCTTTTGTTCAAGAGGGTTGACCTTGACTCTCTGTGAATTTCTCAGCTGTTGGCTTTCTGAAGGTCACCTGCCAGCACCTGGTGACGTCAGGAAGAGATCTCTCCAGGCTGGTCCATTCAGGGAAGCAGCTTGCTCCAATCTGTCATCTTTGTGGCACATACATTTACTTTGCCATTTTTGGCTTGGGATGGCTGAAGCCATTACATGACCACAGAGTGGAAATCTGCACTGAGAAGTGCTCAGCTGGCTTGGCAGCCTTCCACACGCCACACTCATCCGCAGTGCTTGTCCTTTGATGGGCAGGAGGACCAGGTCAGAATGCTTATGTCCTGGATCTGTTCCTCGAAGGCCATTTGATGGCTGGGGAGTGCAGATCCCTTGGCTTGCTGGAAGAGGTATGCATGGGTATGTAGAGATGCAGGTGGACTGCTGGGACAAGGCAGACTGGGGGTATGCAGCTAAAAGGAGGGAGGCCCGCCTCACCCTCAGTTGCCATTTTCGCTGCCGGCAGGCATTCTGTCATCTACTTAATGGAGTTAAGCAACGGGTGTCGTGATGGAATAGAAATTAGATGGACATACTGAGAATGAGTAAATCTCCAAGCAGATACTTGGTGCTTTCCTGGAGGATGCTGAATTAATGACCTTGAAGAGACTGTTTTGGAGTTTCTGCACTCCTGATAAAGTACACCCATCTCCAGCTGCCTGCCAGAACCGCCCATGGGAGTGTTTTGTGTTGCCAAACCAAAAATAAGATTATTTTTATTACAGTCTTTTTAGTTTTCCAGGTGATTTTCATTTTTAGCCAGATATAGAAGCCTGCCAAACCTTTGTGGTTCTAGTGAAATTCTGTCCACCATTCAGGGGGACTGTGCCTGGTGTCCTCATACTGCTCTCAACCACATCTGTTCCCACCCCAACCTAAGCCTTCACATCACATTTGGCCTTTCGTCTAACTCTTTAAACCTTTTTCCACGCCTGTCCCCCACCGTGTGTGTGTGTGTGTGTGTGTGTGTGTGTGTGTGTACATGTGTGTCAACATTGGCCCGCACCCCTTAGTTTCTGATACGGAATCTCTCACTGACCCTGGAGCTCACCAATTCAGATAACCTTCCTGGCCAGTGAGTCCCAGGGATCTTCCTGTCCCCCTGACCCTTCCTCCAGTGCTAGGATTATAGAAGCTGGCTGCCAGGCTGGTTTTTTACATGTGGGTTCCAGGAATCCGAATTCAGGTAATCAGAGCTGTGCGGCAGACGCTTTGCTGATGTAGCCTATCTCCCCAGCCCCGATGCTGGTGTTCGAACTGCTCTTGGTGCCTCAGCGCAGGCTGCTACTCATCTCTTTCTGACAAATGAGAAAGTTCCACTTGGAGATTTGGATGGACAGGTATTCTGAGATTTTTTTTTTTTTTTTTTTTTTGCATATGAACATTCCTTCTAAAGGCCAGTAGTTTCTGGTTATTTGGGGCCTCGGGTTGGGGATAGGTTTCTCAATCCTAAAATTGATGTGAAGAAAAATGCTAATTTTGTCTTTTTCTCCCCCAAAATCCAAGGTTTCTGCCGCAGTGTTTCTGTGGCTTCCAGACTCTGAGAAATCGAGTTGTCCCTTAGGAAGTCATGAATAGGCATTCCCGGGGACAGGGCTGAGTTGGTGGTACTCGTGGACATTTGTGAGGTGCACAGATGAGAGGGTACATGCGGCACTATGCATCAAGTCCTTAAAGTGTTGAGTTACATAACGGAAGACAAGGGTTGGGTTTTTGTTTTTCTTTGTGTGTGTGTGTTGTTGTTTAAAATCTACAAGGTATTAAGAGAACTGGACAGAGCTAAAAGAGATGGCTTTTCCGATGCTCTTGCTTTTGCCTGCGTTGTCCCATGGGCTGGGATCTGCACTGTCCTTTTTCTGCCCCTCTCCCACCCAGGCTTTGGGATTTGCTCAGTCCTCTGTTCCTGCTAGGAAGAAGTCTCTGCTTCTGCCACTCTATGTGTTTCTGGATCACCTGAGCATGCCCGTTTAGAGTATCCAGTCCTGCCTTTCCCCCAGAACAACGTAAGGGCTGTGCTGACTTTGTATCTCTCTCTAGCACCTCATGCTGTGCGGTATGTAATAGAGCTCAGTGAGCAAATCAATAAATTCTCCGAGAGAATGATGCAAACAACTCACATCTTAAGCTGAGTGCAGCCAATGTGTTGCAGTGCTGATGTCTTTGTATGTAAGCGTGCATATAGTCTTTCTTGTGGATCCGCTGGAGCTAGAACCCAAGGGCCTGCATCCCCAGCCCTTGGGTTTCTCCCTTTAAAATTGTCTTTTATATTTATGAGTGTTCGCCTGCATGTGTATATGTGCACCACGTGCATACAGTGCTCCTCGAGTCCAGATGAGGGCCTGTGATCCCCTAGAACTAGAGTTTCAGATAGTCCTAAGTCATGTGGGTGCTGGGAATTGATCCAGGTTCTCTACAAAAGCAGAGACAAATGAGGGTGTTGGGGACTGAAAGCGGCAGTTTGCTGTGCCGAGAAAGCACAGACTGCTAGGGTTGGTATTCAGAGCAGGCAAGTCTGCTTGTGAAGGGTGGCTACTGTTTACTACCCGGTCGTCACTGTCTGACAGGAGTGTTGGCTGTGTTTACAGATCTGATCTGTTTGGCTTTCAAAGAGAACCCAAAAAATGTGAGGTTCACCAGAGTCATCGTCATCTTAACTTATTACTATTGTGAGTGTGCACGTGTGCCTGAGTGTGCACACATGGAGCCACCTTGTAGGCTTAAGATGTCTCAGCTTTTATGTGACTTTCCCGAGTTTTAACTTGAGGCTCACAGAGTTCCAGCACATACAGTGTTGTGCCTCTGCAGGATAAACGACCCTTTGCTTTCAGTTTGCAACCCTGTTGCAGATGATCATCCTTGTGTCTGAGATCCTGTCACTGTTGTGGGAGCCATTTCCATGTGTGAACTGAAGATTATTGCTCTATTATGGGAAACAAAACCAAGCCAGAGATTTAGACCGGATGAGAAACAGCAGGCTTTGGGTCTGAGTGGGGTGCCTGTCAGTTAGGTTGAGGTAAGCCTCCTGGGGTAAGTCCAGTGTGTTTGTATTTTACTCATGGTATTTTATGTGTTGTTTCAGGAATTGATATCCACTGGAAGAACCTGCAACCCTCTCTCTGCCCAGAGCTCCAGGACCAATGTGTCTTCCCACCGCCTTAAACCACTGGTGAGTTAAGTGTTTTCCTGTTTTCCTTCTGTTGCAGTGAAGACATATTGACCTTGCACTGTGATCTCCAGATAATGATGTTCATCTCTTGTTAGTTACTTTTCTGTTGCTGTGATAAAACACCATGACCATAGCACCTTCTAGAAGGGAGGGATTATTGGGGTACATAATAAGGGTACATCATGGCAGAGAATTGTGGCAGCAGGCGGCAGACATGGTAGCAGGAATAGCTGAGAACGCCTGTTTCCAACCATAGGTAGCAGGAAACAGGGAGTGAACTGGGAATGGCTTGTGGCTTTGAAACTTCAAAGCCTGCCCACAATGATATCCTTCCTGTAGCAAGGGCACACTTCTTAAACCTGTTCACACAACGCCACCAACTGGGCACACTTCTTAAACCTACACAATGCCACCAACTGGGCACACTACTTAAACCTGTTCACACGATGTCACCAACTGGGGATCAAGTATTCAGACATTGGAGCCTATGAGGGATAGTCTCATTTAAACCACCACAGATGAGTTTAGGCATGTCGAGGTTCTGCCACTTTTACAGTGGGATCTGGAATAATTGTGTGGTTTCTAGGGTTCCAAACAGCAAAATAGATCCTGTTTTGTTTACCTTGAAGGGTTGCTTGCTTTGAAGATTGGATGTTTGTGAAAACATTTCAGAGAGAGTGAGATGTTGGGCAGAGACAGCTTACTGCCGTAGGTTCTGAGATACACTGGGCAGAGACAGCTTACTGCTGTGGGTTCTGAGATACACTGGGCAGAGACAGAGTACTGCCTTGGGTTCTGAGATACACTGGGCAGAGACAGAGTACTGCCGTGGGTTCTGAGTTATACTGGGCAGAGACAGAGTACTGCCTTGGGTTCTGAGATACACTGGGCAGAGACAGAGTACTGCCGTGGGTTCTGAGATACACTGGGCAGAGACAGAGTACTGCCTTGGGTTCTGAGATACACTGGGCAGAGACAGAGTACTGCCGTGGGTTCTGAGATACACTGGGCAGAGACAGAGTACTGCCTTGGGTTCTGAGATACACTGGGCAGAGACAGAGTACTGCCGTGGGTTCTGAGTTATACTGGGCAGAGACAGAGTACTGCCTTGGGTTCTGAGATACACTGGGCAGAAACAGAGTACTGCCTTGGGTTCTGAGATACACTGGGCAGAGACAGAGTACTGCCTTGGGTTCTGAGATACATTGCAGCTCTTCTCTCTCACACACGATTTGCTACTTTAAGTAGCTTTTCCAGGCTTCCCAGATGTTGAAAGAAATAGCTGCTAGGCCCAGATGACTGCAGCCCAGGGCCTTTCCTGTGATGCTCATGTCCACCTTCACCTGCTAGAGGACACTAAAACCTGTCGCATCTGAGTTCACTAGTACATTAAACTGAAATAACAGACATTACCCTCACATGTGTACAGGCTGGTAATGTGGGTTTGAAATACTTGTTTTCTAAGACCTCTAGGATAGTTCTTTAAGATATTTGCATTTTTTCTTTCTAAATTTGTTACTACCGCTCTAGTTCTGTTTAATATTTACTATGTATTTTCTTTCCGTTTTTAGTTTTTTGAGACAGGGTTTCTCTGTAATATTTCCATCTGTCCAGGAACTCTTCTGTAGACCAGGCTGGTCTCGAACTCACAGAGATCCGCCTGCCTCTGCCTTCCCAGTGCTGGGATTAAAGCCACCCTGTCTGGCTATATTTAAAGTTCTTTCCTTTTTGTAGTTGAAAATATTTCTTTTGTCCAATATATTCTGAATATAGTTTTCCCTCCTTCAACTTCTTCCAGGTCCTCCTGACCCACCCAAATCCATACTCCTCCTCGATTAGAAAATAGTCAGGCATCTAAAAAATAAGAAAATAAGATGAAACAATAAAAAATCCAAACCAGAATAGGAACAAACAAAAAAGAACCAAAGGAAAGGTATAAGACAGACATACAGATACAGAGACAAACACATTCACACACACGGAAATCCTAGAAAGGCTCAATGTTGGAAACTATACTATATAAACAAGAGACCTATAAGGTTAAAAAAAAAAAACTCAGATAAAGCATTATGAGACAAAAACCTTCCAAAAATACCATTGAGTTCACTTTGTATTGGCCGTCTCCTGCTGGCCTGGGGCCTGCCCTTGAGTGAAGCAATTAATTTTTCTTGTACATCTGTGCTTTTTCCTTCCTTCCTTCCTTCCTTCCTTCCTTCCTTCCTTCCTTAAGTGAATGGATTGTATTTCACAATTACCTTCATGTTTGTTATTTGTGATCAAATCATTTTATGCTCCAAATGTTCTTTGGGAGAAACTTGTTCATCACAGCAGGCAAATGTCTTGCCTCCATAGCAGCTGTAAGAATTAAAACCACACCCTTAGCCACCTTGTATTCACTGCTCAAATAGGGATGGTCACACACGGGTGATGGCTAGTTCAAGTTGACAGTGTCCTATAATCTCCTGAGGGCAAGGACCCCAGGAGCCAGGGAAGCTGTGTGATCCTGGCCAGTTTGTAGAGAAAATCTGAGCTGTTTAATGTTGCTGCCTGGTCAGCGTCCATCAGAGGGATCTAGTCCTCTTGTGATCCAGTGAGATAAATCCTAATGACACAACCACTGGATGAGCTTGCTGGGTGCTACAGTTAGAAGTTGGGACAATCCAGCCTAGGGTTAGGGGCTGGATTTTTTTTAGACTGCTCTCAGGGTCCCACCTTGAATTTTGTCAGGTAGAAGAGTTTATAGTGGAGTCTTCAGGGAAGCAGATGGCTGTTCTGTTCAGTCAGTTGATGTGTGTGTATGCTTCCTCTGTGTCATGGCACTGATGATTTGCTGTTCACAAAGTAGACTGTGTGTCTTCTCTCTGGAGTTTAGACTAGAGTAAGGATAGCAGATAAGAACAGGAACTTTAAAAGGGCTGAGATCTTTGCTTACCTCACTTACTGCTGTGTCTCTACTCCTTAGAATCCTGGATCCTGATGGGTACTTACTATGTATGTGGTTATGAATAGAGCAAGCAGATAAGCCAAGTAGAAAATGTAATTTCAGGTTATCATAAATGCTATGAAAAAATAAGAGCCGGAGAGAGAACTGGGGAGAGAAAACGAGGGAAGGTGGGAAAGGGAGAGAGAGTGACTGATTTTCTATAGAGACCTGAATGGAGTAGGAATCTGGGGATGGGGTGGGTGGGATGGGATATTCGCAGGGGGAACAGCAAGGGAAAGGCAAAGCCTTTGGTGTAGGCTGTGCTTGGCATGGTGGTGGAGCAGGAGGGACCCCAATTTGGCTGAACTTGGGCTGCAGGTGGTTTAGGGAGGGAGTGGTGTGAAATGGGATGATTGTGTAGGTGGGAAGCAGATTGTATAGGCCAGGATAGAGTTGGGGCTTTCCTGAAGAAGTCTGAGTGTAATAGTTGATGCGATCTTGGACTTTAAAGTCATCCTTTTGGATCCTGAGGTCGGGTTCAGATTGTGCTTAGAAGATAGAGTCTGTAGTTCAGTGTGGGATATGAGCAAAGAGAAGAGGCAAAGCTAAGCTGGGATTTTTGGTAAATGATGCCACCATTTATTGCGACGGGGAACAAAGAAGGACCCTAAAAGTTTGGTTTCGAGGCTGGCTTTGTAGTTCTGTTGACAGTGCTCAGCTGACGTGCATAACACTGGGTTTGATTCCTCAGCATTGCATAAACTTAATCCAGCACTCAGGAGGTGGAGGCAAAAGGATATAAATTCTAGGTCAGTCTGAGCTGCATGGTGGATTTGAGGCCAGTCTGGACTATATGATCCTCAGAAAAAAAATTGTTTGAGCTTTATTAATTTTGAGATGCCCATCAGCATTCTCATAGAGATAGAAAGTTCTCCGAGGTTGGAAATAGTATCTGTGAGGGTCATCAAATCTAGATGGTATTTAAAGCTAAGACTGGATGAGGCCATTTAGGGAGAGAAAGATGTTAGGATTTTGACAGAGAAAGGAAAGACAAAGGCTGGATTTTCTGAATAAAAACTTAAGAAGTAAATCAAGGGCTGGTGGGATAACTCAGAGTGTGAAGGCACTTGGTGCCAGGCTTGACAGCCGGAGATCAGTTCTCGGGACCCACATGGTAGAAGGAGAGAAGCAGCTCTCCTCAGGTTGTTCTCTGTCTTCTTACACTGTGAGAAGTGCACACACATATGCATGTGTACACTAAGTAAATGTAATGAAAAATTTTAAAAGAAGTAAATGAAGGATACACGCAAGAGAATATGGTATGATTTCACTGTTCGTAACTAGGAACTGTGCAAATCAGATGAAATCCTTAACAAAGCCTCACCTTAATTAAAAAGTTAAAACACTGTGATTTCTCCAAATCAAGAAAATTCAGTCTAGATTTGCTCAATATAAAATCTGGTCTGCTGAGAGAATTTATAAGTTGCATTTGTGCCCTTGGCACATGCCTGCCTTCGGCTGACAGGCAGAAAGACCAGGGTCCCTTGCCAACAACCTGTAAACTACGTGTTCTGTATGTGGGCTGGAGCTCTGACAAGCTGGATTTGTGGCTGACTTTAATTCCCTGCTCATACACTTAAGATTTCTTTCATCCCATAATTACGTTATGCAAGAGTGATAGTCTGAAGGCCCACTGAGTGCAAACTGTGTCTGAAAAGCAGTTAGCTGTCACAGAGAGATGTGACAAAATTCCATGAAGAGGAGCTGGAGAGGTGGCTCAGCAGTTAAGAAAACATACTGTTCTTGCAGAGGATCAGAGTTCGGTTCCCAGAACGCACTCTAGGAGGTTCAAAACTGCTCATAAGTCCAGTGCAGGGGGATTTGATACCTCTGACCTTTTAATACTCCCACGCATGTGCACATATCCACACACAGACACACATCTGTGTAGGCGGATTTTTCTGTCCCACCTGCTAGCTATACGAAGACTTCTTATTAATTATGAAAGCTTGGCCGATAGATTAGGCTTGTTACTAACTAGCTCTTAAATTAATCCATTTTTATCAGTCTACTTTTT